AACTGTGAAGAAGTTCTTCCTAATGTCCAGTCTAAATCTGCTCTCTGCTAACTTATGGCCATTATTTCTTGTAACCCCCAGGGGTGCCTTGGTGAGTAAAGCCTCACCAATTCCCTTCTGTACCCCTATGATGAACTTATAGGCAGCCACAAGGTCACCTCTCAACCTTCTCTTGCGGAGGCTGAAGAGATCCAGGTGCCCTAGTCTCTCTTCCATAGTGCTTGGCGTGCAAGCCCTTAACCATACGAGTGGCCCTTCTCTGGACCCTCTCCAGGTTATCCATACCCCTCTTGAAGTGTGGTGCCCAAAATTGCATGCAGTACTCCAACTGCGGTCTGACCAGCGCCCAATAGAGGGGAATTATCACCTCCTTGGTTCTGTTCGTCATGCATCTGCTGATGCATGATAAAGTGCCATTAGCTTTTCTGATGACTTTGTCACACTGCCGACTCATGTTCATCTTGGAGTCCACTAGGACTCCAAGATCCCTTTCTGCTTCCATGCCACCAACCAGGTCATTTCCTAGGCAGTAGGTGTGCTGGACATTTTTCCTCCCTAGGTGCAGCACTTTGCATTTCTCCTTGTTGAATTGCATTCTGTTGTTTTCTGCCCATATGTCCAACCTGTCCAGGTCTGCTTGTAGTTGTTCCCTGCCCTCCGTCGTATCTACTTCTTCCCACAGTTTTGTGTCATCTGCAAACTTGGACAGAGTACACTTCACTCCCTCGTCCAAGTCGCTGATGAAGACATTGAAGAGTATCGGTCCAAGGACCGAGCCCTGTGGGACCCCACTGCCCACACCCTTCCAGGTCGATACCAACCCATCCGCTACGACTCTCTGGGTATGACCCTCTAGCCAATTCGCCACCCGCCGGACTGTGTAGTCATCCACATTGTGTAATGGGAGTTAAGGAATATTGTAACCCTGCCCGGTACATTAAAAACTCAACAACCCTGAAAAAGTAGGGCCAGAAAACCAATAGGGGAGTGTCAGTGGAGTTGTGCTAGTCTCTGCACATACAAAAATAGCCGGGCTTTGATTTGTGAAGTCTCTTTCAAGAAGCCCATGCAGTGCTTGATTTCAGTGTCAGTTTGGGTTGTTTTCTCTCTGCAGGTATCTCACGAGTTCGCCATTAACTTCAATCCTACCAATCCGTTCTGCTCAGGTAAGTACCTCTTTGGGCCCAGTCTTTTCCAGCTCAGGGACAAGTATTTCCTCATTATTATTTTGGACATACCATCCTGGATGTGTTGTGTCCCCTTTAATTTCATCCTGAACTTCAAGCCCTGATTAGAGCAGCATTGTGGTTCAGACTAAATCTTAAAAAGATTCTCTGCTTGATTTGGACATCTCCTGAAAGGTACCAGGATGAGAAGCACTGCAGATCTCCTGTACTTTCACAGGTCATTTTGAAACTGAGGCCTGGTTTACAATGATGGCTATAGACTCATATGCTTCATAGAGTCTGAAGCTTCAAGAGATATTATGATAACCTAGTTTGACGTCCTGCATAAGGTACTAGCAGGTATGAGGATAGCCCCAGGAGAGCTGACCCTTTTTCCTACCAGCACTTCACAAAAACTGCAATGAATACCCCTTAGCTTTTGTGCTGTATCTACTTTTCCGGGTCAGTATATGATTATACTAGTTGTCCAAAAGCTTTTTGTATTACTCTTATTTGGATTGCTTTGAAGTTCAGAGGCCAGAACCCAGTGCCCTAGGCACTGTACAAGTCTGTAAGACTAAGCCCTCCAGGGAAGAAACTGTTTAAGCAGTGGAGATTGACAGGTTTGTTTAAAAGAATCTAATACCTTCTGGTTTATGATTAACCCTTCACAGGTTAGTCTGTTTATCTCATGTCCCTCCAAAAATAATGCTAGCACTTGTAAATTGTGGGCTAGTATTTTCCCACAGTTAAATGACAGAAACTGAGGCAAAGAATGTTGAAGTGACTTGGCCAGAGATCACCCAGTAGGCCGGTGGCAAAGCTGGATCTAGAGCCCTAGCCCTCCTTTCTCTCCAATTTTGTTTTAGCCCAGGGGTTGGCAACATTTTTGGGCAGTGTGAAAACACCTGCAACCTCAACTTCTAAGATGTTGGAGTGCCAGGGGAGGATGGCAGGGGGCCAATCTTTGTTGTGGCAGCACCGCCTTGTCCTCACCATCAACACTGAGGCACATGTGCCAAGCAGAACGTCTTCACGTGCCACACTCTGGTCTACATTATGGGCTGCTCTGAGCTGCTTGGAGTCAGGCCCATAACATCTGGTCTGCCAGTTAGCTGATCTCTGGTGTGCGTGGGTGTTTCTGAGGCAGTGTTCACTGAGTGAGCAGGAAGGCCATATACACACGCCCTCTAATGCTACCTCATTACCCCTGAGTGTACAAAAACTTACCTCTGGCAATGTAATAGATCGTGGAACATGCGGTGGCCTCTGTTTAATCTATAATAAATTGCCATATGTGTAAAGGACATAAATTCCCTGGGAGTGGCAGGTGGCAGATCAGTCACAGTGGTGATGGGGTGACTTTGGTTGTTCACCACTTACATTCTTTTCCAGCCCAATATTTATGACCATAAGAAGGTGTGGCCTGCTGAATGTTTTAGCAGAAACAATGACATTGTCTTTGTGGGCTTTGGATGTAACACCCCAAATGAGAGGAATCTCTGAATCTAATGTCCCAAGCTACACTTGAAACTGTATCTTCAGACTTAAGAAACCATTGTGCTGGGTTGCATTCAGAACATTCTCTTTATATTTGGACAGACTGAAACATGACTAACAAATGTGTTCTATGGAAGGAAATGAATGATGATTTAAAATATGATTCATGTAAGCTAATATACTGTCCTTGAAGAATAATGGAGCTCAATGATAACGACAGGAGATTTTTACAAATATCAAAGAGGAAACAGAAAATTATGCCAAGCTTCTTAGAACTACTGTGATAATTCTGTTCTTTGTGTATTTGGAACACTTTTTTTTTTTGCCTGGATTTACCTAATTGATCTGTAGAATTGCAGTAATTGTGCACCTAGATTGGTATGCTGCTGTGCATCTAATCTTACAGAAAACACTGATTGAGTATCAGCTCTGTTGAGTTGAACAAGGTAGTTTAAAACTCTTAGACAGATTGTTTCAGGTTCAGGCACTACATCCTTTCTGCCCTCTGTTTTCTTGGAAGGATTGCTTTGCAGCCCTAGAAACATTATTCTTCTGTAAAATAAATGCTTGCCAAATCTGAATTGGTCAATGAACTGTAGAACTGTAGATGTTTCTGACCCCTGCTTTATAAGTGGGATTTTCAAAATCACCTATTTGTCCCTTTGACATTCACAGGAAGCCCAAGTCCCTTTGACAGTCACAGGTTTTTTTTCCTCTAAATCATTTGAGCACCCTTGAAAATTTGACCCCAGATGGGAATTAGACCTGGATCCAGCAACTTCTTGTATGCTGGTAGATTGTTCTGTCCACATGGAGCACTAGGGACTCCAGTAGGATTCCAGAAAGTGCAACACCTTGCATGTAGGCATACAACACTTTGCATACACACACATGCACACAAGCAGTTGTATCATCGGGACCTTAAAGGCAATTAAAATTATGTCTAAAACACCATGGCCCAAAATGTATGCACTGCAACAGATTAATGCTTGAAGTCAGCTATTATGGCATGTGCTACTGTTCAGTTATGACAGGCAGTCATAGCCTGTTAATAAGAAAAGGGTAAAAACACAACTTCTGTTTGCTATTTTATCCCACCTTAAAATCATACTTCTATGTATGCATTCAATGAAAGAGAGCTAAAGGGATTGAGGGAAGCAAATTCCTGGATTTCAGGATGCAGCTGTAAATAGAAACACTCAGTGAGGCCACAATCAAGTCTTGCATCTGTGTAGGACTTCCTTGGAGCCTGGTCTCCTAGGTGATAAGAGACAGATAACTCTTGAGGGAATTGGTATCATGCTGTTCCAGGCAGTTTGGAACATAGTGCGCTCACCTCAGGCTTTGACGCTGGGAAAATGAAATTGCCTGTTTCTTTCTTTTTCATGTGTCTTCTACCCTTTGATATTTCCACTTGAGCCATGAAATGCTTGATTGTCCAAACAGCCTGGATTTCTGCCTTTCTGGTTTCAGTCTCGTCACATAGTTGGGTATTGCACGATAAAGGGGCAGGGTACAGAGTGCTGAGTGTAAAGAAATGTTTTCTCTTCTGATGTGTGTGCACAGCTCCCAGCGAAGGCCTTGGTCCCTCTGTGTTTACATGTCCCAGAGCAGGACTTGGATTTATTTCAGAAGTGAGGATTTTTTTAAATTAACTTTTTCTCAAATAACTAAGCCAGCATTAAAGAACATGGCATTTTTAGAGCCAGCTAAGTCCAATTGCCCTGTATAACTAGGGAGAATTAGTCTGATATAAGCATAATGGGTGCAGTAGGGATATAATGCTTATTGTCTCATCACTGCTGGCAAGCAGCTGGTAAAAAAGCCTGCAACAGGAACAGGTTATTTGTTTGCCTGAATTGGGACAGCCAGAAAGACCTTCATCCCTATTCTAATTTACTGACAGAAACTGATTCTCCTGAACAGGTGGAAAAAGCAAAGGACCTCTTTCATATCTTGCAAATCAGATCAACACATTCGGAACAGCAGTGAAACTTCCGGTTTCAAGTTTCTTGCCAAGTTGTTTCTGTCTCTGTTGATTCTCTCCACAGCCCTCCCTGCTTTGTGACTGCCTCAGTTCCTTCTCAGATGTAGGCATTTGTGTTCCCACATGGTTACTCTCTTCACAAGACCTCAGTATTTTTCAAAAGCAAAAGAAAGCCACCTTACTTGAACTCGGGCATCAGAAGCCCTCTCTCATAAGCACAAGGACTCGGGTATAAAATGGTTATCGAGGTCAAAGAAAAATTATCTGTGTTAGTCTGAAGTTAGGCAGAAGACAGAGTATATTTGCACCTTACAGACTAACTAAATCAGAAATGTATGGCATACATTTTCATGAGCTTGAGCTCACTTCTTCATCTGATGGTAGCATCTAATGAAGTGAGCTCTGGTTCCCAAAAGCTTATGTCGCCTATCTCTGACTTAGTCTATAATGTGAAAATCTACCCTGTATTAAGGTCAGAGGCATCTCAGATCTACTGAAAAATAAGGTCTGAGAAGGGATGGATAAAACTTTTTTGCCAAATAATAATGCTGCTGAAAATGTGATATCAGATGCCAAAACTATTATATTGCATTTCAATTAAAATTTTCAAGGAAGAACACTGGGACGACATTTTTGCAAAGGTTGACATAGAATTTGTTGTTTTAGATGTGACAGATTTTCTAGATGAAACTTTACAATTTTTTTTAAAGAAATGGTGTTTCTCTTGCTTAAAAATTGACCTAAATTTTAAGACAAAAGCTTAACCTGAAGGGTTTGGTAACTCAAACGCAACAACATATTTCATTTTGGGTCAAATAAAACATTTTGGCTTAACCCCAAACGATTGTTTTCTTTTTTTCCTAGAATCCTCAAATCTCTATCTTTGGACTGATCTGCACCAACTCTTGGGCATTTTTATACGTGTTTCCGGACATGGTGCTGGGTACTTTAATTAGCGAGCTGCGCTAATTAAAAGCACCCACATGTTACATGTATTGGCATCGCTGCGTATCCCCATCATGAAAACATGGCAGTGGGGTGCTTTAAACTAAAGCTCATCAGACATATTTTATTTTGAAGTGCACTGCTGCCATTTTGTCAGTGTGGAGACGCTGATGCATGTGACACGTGAGGCTACTGGGACGCATCAATTTCTGTGCTCCAGTGCATCTGAGCAAACTCCCTGCATATGTGTAGGAGCCCCTTGTTTCCAGTTTTTCAGTTCAGCCTTTGAATTGTGGGGAGGGATGGGTGGGATGAGGACACACGCATGCCCTCTTGCCCCCCCCCCGCCCTCCACTTTATTTCCTCAGATCTAGTTTGGAGCACCCTCAGTTCCAAAGAAAATTGGCCACTGTTTTCTACATCACTGAAACACTCCTGATGCACAGAGTCAGGATGGTTCAATGGGTTGGATACCAGCTTGGGAGGTAGGAGTCCTAGATTCTTGTCTTGACTCTACTCCTGACTTGCTCTGAGATCACTTCAATCATTTTGCATCTCTGGTTCCCATGCCACCTACTCCCTGTTTTGTCCATTTCAGCTGCAGAGTAAGCTCCATAGCATGTTGTTTGCACTGCACCTTGGAAAATGAGACCCTGATTTCTACAGGGGGCTCACTCTAATGTAAATGCCAGTACAATGAAATATAGTTTTAGTGATTTTGAATTTTCATCAATTGTTTCTGAAATCCATTTTGATGTGTAAGTAAAGTAAGGAGCAGATTGCTGGAAGAAGCAGCCTTTTGGCTGCCTGGAAGGGTTGGATATTTTAACGTTTCATTTGTCTGCTTTTCTTTAAGGAGTGGAAGGCATTGTCCAAGCCTATTCAGCCTGCCTGCCCCATGTGCGCTTCTATGGACCAACCAACTTCTCCCCCATTATCAATCATGTGGCCCGGTTTGCTGCCCAGGCTACCCAGCAGGAGTTTGCAGCAGTAAGTTAGAATGTGTATATTGTTTTATCTGTGTTGTTGCCTTGGCTTTGAATTTCAAAGTGGGGCTAATTAACCTGAGCATCTTGGTGTCTCCCAGTAGGCATAGCATCACAGAAGAGCAAAATGAAAAAGACCTATTAGAAAACCTTGCAAAGAATTTATCAGAAGCTAATGTGATAGTGTAATTGATTTTAGCCAATAACTGGTTCCATTTTAGGTTCTTGTAAAGAGGGTTGAAGGGGTAGGTGGGAGTGGGCTTTTCTAAACTGGTTTTGGAAACAAAAAGCATTCAGCATACTGTGATCTTGAGCTGAGAGAAGAAATTTTAAAAGACCCTTAACAATCCAAAAAATATTTGACATCTTTATTTTTACAATAGTTTTTGTGTCATTTGGGCAAACAGCGGTGCCAGAATCCTGGTTCCAAAATGATCACTTCATGCCACTCATAACCCTCAAAGTCCAGGACAATTAGTTCGTTGTATCATTTATAAACACATGTTGAAAAGCTGCTTGTTGGCTCTCAGGGTGTCCCTTATGTCCTCTACTCCATTTCAGTAGCTTGTGAGGTTCTCAGGCTAGAGAGAGACAATCATCATCACTGGCAGTCCCTCACAGTCAAGGATGATTGTCTTCCATGATTGTCTTATATGTGGATCTGAAGATGGCTGACAAGGCCTATCTGGGATCACAACACACTGTTTCTGTCACCCCTGCTTTTCTGTCTCCTGTCGTTGTCATCAGGTTTCAAAGTACTGAGATTCTTGCAGCAGATTCTTCCTCCATTTGGGACGGTCCTGGGCAATAGTTTCCCATGAGTTAATGTCAATATTGCATTTTCTAAGTTGGCCTTAATCATGTCCTTGAAGTGCTTTATCTGCCCTCCTCTTAAGCATACACCTTACAGAGCTCGGAGAATAAAATTTGCTTTGGGAGTCTAGAGTCACACATCCAGACAGTGTGTCTGGCTCTGCAAAGTTGATGTCAGATGATCATCACCTCGATGCTCATGGTGTTTGCTTGTGACAGGATGTTAACTTTGGTGCATCCGTCTTCCCACCGGATTCAAAGGATCTTCCACAAGCAGAGTTTGCAGCACAAGCAGAGTTGATGGCATTTCTCCAATGGCTTGATTGATGGTACTTCTCCAACAGCTTGAGATGTCTCCTGTACATTGTCCACATCTCAGCTCCATACACTAAGGTGGGGATCACAACTGCTTGATTAAAAGATGAGCTTGGTTTTGGATCTGATGTCACAATCTTTGAACACCTATTTCCTCAGGCGTCTGAAGGCCACATCTGCACATACAAGGCAATGTTAGATTTTTTTTTTTTTCTTCAGTGTCAGTCTTCTGTGAAAGATGGCTTCTGAGGTATGGGAAATACTCAGTGTTCTCCAGTGTCTCACTGTGAATCTGAATTACTGGAGCTGGGGACTGCTGATGAAGAGCTGGTTGATGGAGCACGACCATAGCCTTCTGAATGTTAAGTGTCAGTTCCTTTTTCTTGTATGCCTTGGTAAAAAACGTTGATGATTGCCTGAAGGTTTGCTTCTGAGTAAGCACAGACTACAGCATCATACGCATACTGGAGCTCAGTGATTGAGGTCCGGGTGGTCTTGGTCTGGGTTCAGTCATCTTGAGATTAAACAATTTGCAATCTATTTGGTAGTTTAGCTCCACTCTGACTGGAAGCTTGTTTGGTGGTCAGAGGCAGCATTGCAGTGATATGCAACTCATATCTAGAAAAGTGTTGGAGTGATAATGCAGCCTTGCTTAACTCCTATCTTAACCTCAAAGGGATCTGTGATGGATCCATTATTGAGAACCACTGCTCACATACTGTTATGGAGCAGGCAAAAATGGTGATGAATTTTGGTAGGCATCTGTACTTCAGAAGGATCATTCACAGTGCTTCTCGGTTGACAGAGTCAAAGGCTTTCATGAGGGCAAAGAAGGCCATGTAGAGAGGTGCATGTTGTTCCTGACATTTTTTCTGAAGCTGGTGAACCATGAAGTTCATGGCAGTTGTGCCTATTGATGCCCTAAATCTACACTGAGATTCTGGGAGCAGCTCTTCAGCAAGTGGAAGGAGATGGTTTAGGAGGGTTCTCGCAATGATCTTCCCTGTGGTGGACAGCAAGGCATTCCCTGTAATTTCCACAGTCAGACTTATTTCCTTTCTTGCAGATTGTCACGATCATGGTGTCCCCGAGGTCGTCTTGGATTTCCTCATCAGTTCCATGCCCTGATCCTAAGGATCTTGATGATTTTGGCAGGGATTCCATTATCTCTAGGTGCCTTGTCATTCTTCCTCCGCATGATGGCTTTCCTCACTTCATCGAGGGTTGAATTATCTCTGACTGGGTGCTGTGGGATGGCATTGAGAACACTCATCAATAACAGAGGCTCAACTAAAGAGGTCTTCAAAATGCTCCTTCCAGTGGGCATTGATGGCTTCCCTTTTCTTGATCCGGTCTCTTCCATTCTTAGGTTTCAAGAGAGACCATATCAAGATGCTGACTATGGCTTACAAGTCCAAGGAGGAAAAAGGAAAGGAACAATCTAAAAAGAAAAACATGACACTGGAACATTTCTTCGTTATTGTCACCTTTATTTGGCAACATCTGCATTAAAAGCAAGGAGTGAAGAGTTTCCACTTGCTTAATTATCTACTTAAGTTCACAGCCTGCTCAGATAAGCTCCCCCCCCCTGATTAGCAAAACTGGTTTTATGGTCTTGCTTATACTGGGATTAGCTCAGATCACCTGAGCTGCAAAGGTCCAGCTCATGCAAGTTAAAGAAGGAGTTTGCTCCACCAGTTCAAATGACAACTTTGCCTGTCCACACAAGAGGTTTGTATTGGTTCAGTCAACTTGGCCGCTGGTCTCTGACAACTGAAATTGGTGCTAATTTTTATTGTAGAGAAAGAAGACTGAGTCGCATCCTCCTTACATGGTAACATTGACTGTCACAAATAAAGGGAGATTACAGTATTAGCAGTGACAGAGCTACCCTCTGTTTTGGTTTCCTTGGTCAAAGTTAATAACCTGTGTGAGTGGTGCTGTCTTTCTGTCTGAATGCATGGAAATGACTCTGTTCATTCTCACTGTGCTGCAGTCCCACATGCCAGTTGGCCGTATAATTATCCAGCCTTTCCATTACCTGTCTCCCAACAATTTTTCCAGGTGCCTGAAATAATAGCTCTGCTGCTCTTTTTTCTTTTAACCCCTTCATTTTGCTTCCAGTTTTCTGTGACAATCCAACTCATACATTAGTGCACACACAAAAGAGAGAGCAAGCTAGATAGAACCTGTTAAATGCGGTGACACCTCTGCCATGGAAATACTCTGTCCTATTTACTGGTGGTGGCTGGAAGAGTGTGTGTTCAGTGAAAGGGCTTGAGTGTGAATGTGGAAAGGAAATGGTCCTCTGGGCTGCTGTGGCCAAACAGCTTTTGAATGTGCTGTAAGCTTGGAAGATTGTGGGTGTGGTGACAAACAGATTGCTCTGAAATTTGTCTGATAGTCAGATGGTATCCAGTCGCCTTCCTTACATGGACAAATCCAGGTCCCTTAGCTCAATGACCTCTAGAGGGCAGTATCCCAACTCCAGACTCTTTAAATGCCAGTAGAGTGAGACCAGGAGGAGTTTTCTTTTAGTACAGCTGCAAAGTTTGGACTTTCAGGTAAATGGAGGTTGGTGGCAGCCTTATATGCAGCATCACTCCTCCTACACTGAAAAAACAGGATGGGGCAACAAGTCCAACTGACTGGCCTTCATAGACTCCAAAAGGGTCTAGAAAGCTGTCAGAGGAAAACTAAGAGGCTGAAAAAGGGAGGGAGAGGTGTTCCTTGGACACCCTGAGATCTTTGCTCCTTGTCTTTGGGCCTAAGGAGTGATATTACTGGACTTTGGGAGATCTTTGTTCCCTCTCTCAGTTGAGGCAAGAGGAGCATGAGATTCTGGTAGCCTGATCCTGGTTTGGGGCTGCATTATAGTGTATATAGCTTGACTTCTTGTACTGCTTTAAACACACAACACACGTATGTTTGCCTGTCAGCTGGACGGGGGGGGCTGCACCTCACTGATCAAGAGCTGCAACCATTGTCCTGTGTTTGATGGGACTCCATGGGAACCCATGACAGTGGAAGGAAAACACAATGTTCTGTGTACCCCTTGCACGCTATTGGTTTTCCCAACTCTGCTGGGGGCCACATCTGTCTACCACAGTCCCAGGGCAGCTTTCTCTTCCTTGCACATTCCTACATAAGCCTGAGGACCTAGATTTACATCACCTTGGACCAGCATTTCCCATCCCTTAGAACTTGGAGGTTGAGCCCTGGGCAAGCAGTGGAGAGGATGGAGTCTTCTTTGCTCCATCAGCACTAGCTCTGTCAGTTTCTTTCCCACACATCTGCCATCCCTACCCAAAAGTCCTTCCTGTGGAATACGGTGATGACTTTGGCTGGTTTTGTGAACCTGGACCCAGTACGGTTGAGAAACCACCATCCTGAGATACAGGAGCATGAGGGGAATCAAGGTGGAGGGTCCTTGAGATTCACTACTTCCTCTCTCGTGGAGAGGTGATAGGTTCTTCCTGATGGTGTCAGACTCTGCTTGTATTTGTTGAAAATGCATTGTCAGCCATACCCTGTGTGTTAGGATTTTTAAATAAGAATTACACCTGGTTCTCAACCTGTTTGCTTCATCTGATTAATGCTTTTAATTACCTGTCTGAGGGGGAACGTATTGGACAATATGTATACCTGCTGAAGTGTCTACTGATTTTTGGTTGTCCACCTTGAGGCAAAAGGGACTTCAGTTTGGTGTGCAAAATTTGAGGAATGCACTGTCTATGGGTTACTATTTGATAACTTCTGCTACAATTTGTTTGCTCTATAATGTATAACTGTTGACCATACAACACGGGGAAGGTCATTGGGATAGCACATCTGAGGATAGTGTGGTTCAGGAAGCACTCTACACACCCTATAATT